AACCCCGCGTAACAGCAGGAAGACTCGCCTGTAGAGCAGAAGGGTACGGATATTACTATCTCTGTAGATGTTATTGCACAGGCTGTGAAAAGCTTGAAAAATGGAAAAGCTGCCGGAAGTGACGAAATCCGCCCTGAGATGCTCAAGGCACTAGGCGAACAAGGCATGTGCTGGCTAACACGTGTCCGTCGAACTGCGATGACTGCAGGAAAGACACCAGCGGACTGGAGAACGGGAGTTATTGTACCCGTATTCAGGAAGGGAGACCAAAAGGAATGCTGCAATTATAAGGGCATTAAGTTACTGATCCTCCTAGGCAGTCTACACAAAAGCGCTAGAAAGGAGGAAGGCGGAATAACTGGCACCAACATTCACGAAGAGCAGTGTGGTTTCCGGTCGAAGCATCACTCTATATATTTGCCTTGCGCCTTGCGATTGATGGGAAATTTTGGGAGGTCGCACGTCCGGTGTACCTGTTTTGTTCACCTAGAAAAGGTCGATGACCAGATCCCACGCAACAGTCTGCGGTCATGCGTTCGAGCATACGGGATAGATGGCCAGCTGCTAAGGGCCATCCAATCACTGTATTCTGATAGTGAGTGTTGCGTCAGAGTAAGTGGCGTTAAGTCGAAACCATTCAACGTTCGCACTGGTCTCTGCCAAGGCTGCGTCCTGCCTTCTCTCCTGTGTGTTGTACATGGATAAAATAGTCAGTAGCAGCCAAGGTCATGACTGTATCAGTGTAGGTGATGTGAAAACAAGAAGGTTGCTGATTGCAGACGACCTTGTTTTATTAGCATCTTCTGAAAAGGATCTTCAGTGGAAAGGTTCGCAGCCCAATGCGATGTGACCGGCATGCGTGTGAACGCGTCTAAAACGAAAAGCCTAGTGCTTTCTCGTTCTCCCGCCCGTTGCTCTCTTCAGATTAACGGAGAGGCACTGGAGCAGGTCGATAAGTTCAAGCACGTCGGAATCGTATTTATTAGAGATGGAAAATTTGAGGAAATGATCGACCGGCGAATTGGAGTAGCCAGTGGCGTTCTGCGTGAACTAACCCGATCCGTTGTGAATAAAGCAGAGTTCAGTCTAAAAACTAAGCTCTCGGTGTTCAAGTCGATCTTAATTCCCATGCTTAACTCGTGGACCATGACTGAAAGGCTTCGAACCCGGGTACAAGCTGCTGAAGTGGGCTTTCTTACACGAGTCGCTGGCCTTACGCGCTTCGACATGGTCTCCGAAACACTGACGACCAGGAGAGCCTTGGAATACAGCGTTTGCTTCTCCAAATTGAGAAGTCACAGCCGCGATAGCTTGGACATGTGTTGCGAATGCCTCCAGAAAGGAAAGCGAAATAACTCTTTCTTGCAAAGCCGACAGGAAGATAGCCCAGGGGACGGGCAAGATTACCCTGGTGCAAATGAATGGAAGAAGTCTTTCCAGACTCCAGTTGTCTTCTGCCGAAGCTCTAACTCTGGCACAGGATCGGGAACGTAGGAAGCACTAACTGACGCATCTGCCTCCGCGAAATGAAAGTTGATGGGGCCATCGAAGATGAATGAATTAATGAACGATCCATACATTATGTTTAAACCACAACGAGACGAGCTCCGCAGATCCTCCGCGATCGCAACCCTCTTTTGATTGGAGAGTCACCGGAAGCCAGCGAAGTACACAACATGTTCATGATACTGACGCTCATGTTGAACAATGATGACGATGTCTTTCCTGTTAAGTGGAGTGGTATTCTTGAAATGCTCCTGCAGTAACATTAGCAGTATCTAATCTAAGGTCACGAAGACGATTAATTCCGCCAGCTTGTACGAACTTACAGAACTGTTCTTAATACTGCAAATTTTACATTTTATACACTTTAACTCAAACCCATCGTCTAGACACTTCAAATCTTATTTTAGTTATAAAGAGCTACTGTGAGATGTTATGCACCCACTAAAAAATAATATTTTACTTCACTTTCCATGAACGCTTCTCCTTTCGGGTTGCAGAGGCAGACGGGCCAGGGAGTGCTTCCAACGTTCCAGATCCTGTGCCAGAGTCTGAAGACAAATGGAATAGAAAGAAAACTAGAAGACTTATTCAATACATCTGCATGAGATTAAATTTGGTCATCCCCTGGTCTTCCGACGATCGGCTGAACTAGCAGTAGTTGCTCTGCATTCTTTGGTGAAGACATTCGGAACACGTGCTCAAACAATCGCAGCTGTGATTTCTCATTCTGAACGTCATTAACTCTGACGCAGCAACTGCTATCAGCATATAGTCAATGAATGGCCCGTAGCAACTAGCCATCGATCCCATATGTTTGGAGCCATGACATCATGTTGCGCCCGATCCGTTCATAGGCTTTCCCCAGGTCAGCAATACACATGTATGCCCAATGAGCGAAGGCTCATGATTTCTCAAAAATTTCGCGCAAGGCAATGGCCTGCTCAGCGGTACTTTGGGCTGACCTGAAGTCATACTGCATTTGTATTTTAGAGTCAATTATTCCGCAAAACCTAATTTCTAACACATTTGCGACGACTTTTTTCGGAAGGCGCAATAAGGTAATGCCCCGATAATCTCAGCACTCCGTATGGTCTCCCTCCTTGGACAATGATATTGCAACCCCGTTCTACAGTCCGCTGCTGTCTTCGACGCAACCAGTGCAGTTCGACAGGCACGAGTAAGCCAGCAGATGCCCTGTTCGCCTAACGCCTTAAACATTATAGGGCAAATTTCATCGATTCCAGAAGCCATTCCAATTTTCAAGTTTTTACAGCTTGTGTGACTTCATCTCCAAAGAAATTAATATCTGTTCTCTGCTGCTCTTTAGGTGAGTCTTTCTAGGGTTGCTCGGAGTTAATCAGATCCTCAGAGTACTCTCTCTATCGCCAAAGAATGTCCTCATTCTCTGTAAGAAGGTGTCCAGACTTGTCCTTCAGTACCCTTAGAGTGCCCTTCTCTTTACCTCAGAGCCAGCGGACGGTTTGCCAGAATACTTTGTTTGCCATGTAGAAATTCTACTCCAACACCTCACCGAACTTCTCCAAGGAATCAGCTTTGGCTTTCGCTGCTGCCTTGCGTCCTTCGACATATCGCATGCGAGTAGAACGCTCTTTGTTTCCAAACCATTTCTTGAATGTTGCCTTCTTCTCTTTAACGCCAGTTGTACCTCTCGTGTCCACCAGGTTCTTTTTTGACCTCCAGGCGGCAGGGCATGCCAACCCGCTAAAATCCGCAGCGTTCAGCGGCAGCCTCGAGTCTTCATCTTCCATCACCGCTTCTCCCTTCGGGTCGCGCAGGCCGACGCGTTAGACAACGTTTCCAACGTTCCCGATCCTGTACCAGAGTCTGAGCTTCGGCAGAAGACAACTGGAGTCTAAAGCAGACTCCATCCATATATTTGCACCAGCTTAATCTTGGCCGCCCCTGAGCCTTCTGCCGGAAGGATTTGCAAGAAACAGCTGTTTAGCCTTTCCTTCTGGAGGCATTCGCGATACATATCTAAGCCATCGCAGCTGTAACTTCTCAGTCTGGATAAGCAAAGTTTGTACACCAAGGCTCCCTCAGATGTCAGTGTTGCGGACAATGTCGAGACGCCTAAGGCCAGCGACTCGTCTAAGAAAGCCCATTTCAGCAGCTTGTACCCGGGTTCGAAGTTTTTCAGTGATGCTAGCGACTCGTCTAAGAAAGCCCATTTCAGCAGCTTGTACCCGGGTTCGAAGTTTTTCAGTGATGGTCCACCATTCACGAACGTAGGTAAGTACGGGGATAAAGATCGACTTGAACACCGAGAACTCAGTTTTCAGACTGAGCTCTGCTTTCGTCACAACGGGTCGGGCTAGTTCACGCAGAACGCCACTGGCTACTCCAATTTGCCGGTGGATCATTTCCTCAAATTTTCCATCACTAATAAATACGACTCCAATGCACTTGAACTTATCCATCTACTCCACTGCCTCTGCGTTAATCTGAGAAGAATAACGGGCAGAAGAACGAGAAAGCATTAGGCTATCCGTTTCAGATGCGTTCAAACGCATGCCGGACACGTCGCACTCGGCTGCGAATCTAAGAAGCACAGTAGATCATTTTCAGGAGATGCCCATAAAACAAAGTCGCCTGCAAACAGCAGCTTTCTCGTCTTCACATCTTCTACACCGACATAGCGTTGCCTTTGCTGCACCTGACTATTCCGTAAATGTACAACACGAACAGGACAAGGGCCGGGACGCAGCCTTAGCAGAGACCAGTGCCAAGGTTGAAACGTTTCGACTTCACGTCATTTACCATGACGCAGCACCTGCTATCAGAATACAGGATGGCCCTTTAACAGCTGGCCATTTATCCGTTTGCTCGCAGGCATGGGCATATAGTAATGCGTCGGATCCGGTGGTCACAGGCTTCTTCTTTGTCAACAAAACAGACGTACACCGGATGAGCGTACTCCCAAAATTTCTCAGCAATCTGGCGCCGGGCAAATAATGGTTAGAGGTGATTCGACCGGGCCGTAAGCCACACTGCTCTTCTACCTTGGAGTCAGGTACTCCGCGGCACCTCCTTCTAGCACCTTTGCGCAGACTACCTGAGAGGTTCAATAACGTAATGCCCTATAATTGGAGCACTCCCTGTGGGGTCTTTCCCGTAGTCATCGCAGTTTGACAGACTCGTGTAAGCCAGTACGCCCTGTTCACCTAATGCCTTGAGCATTTCAGGGCGGATTTCGTCAATTCCAGCAACCTTTCCATTTTTAAAGCTTTTCACAGCTTGTGCAGTCTCATCTACAGAGATAGTGATATCCGCTCCTTGCTGCTCTACAGACGAGTCTTCCTGAGGCGCGGGGCTAAGGAGTTCGTGCGTACTCTCTCCATCGCCGAAGAATGTTATCATCCTTGAT